CAAACGATCGGTCGTTTATCATTCATGCTTGGATAATGTACATTCAATGATTCGATAGGAATATATCGGTTGAGTTGCGGAGGCACTATCATATAATATATTGACTACAAATCAATAATAATTTTTTCTTTCTTTGATATTTGATTTCAAGATTGTATTTATCAGGCTTCATCAAATATATACATAACGTGCAAAATAAAGAAAAGTTCATGAAGTAAAACATATTATAAACGAAAAAATAACAAGAATCAATAGAGTTCTGATTTATTTGAAAAAAAATATCATATTTTATCATTATGAAAGAATATTCATTGGTTGTTCATAAAATTATTGTCTCTAGATTAATATATGTATATATTGTGATAACTTGTATATAAAACGTGTGTCTCTATATTTAAAATATCTTCTTCTCTTTCAATTGTTATTTGTTCAAGGTACCGCCCTTCTCATGATGATTGAGCTTGTCAAAAAGTGTGATATCTCACGCTCGTGTTATTGTCTCTGATTTTTTTTCTTCTTCTTCTTCTTGAACGGATCGTTTCGTCTATCGGCATGTTTTTATCTTTCAATGTATGTGTATATATGTATTTGTGAAGTGTAAATGAGATCGATGCATGAGCGGCTTTGACAATCTAACAAGAGTAGTCTATGACACCTTCAAACAAACAATCATCTTTTCTATTTGCATAAAAAAAATATATATATATATATATATATATATCTTAAGTACCGACAAGTAGGTATTCAAACGAATTGAGAAAAAAGAAGAAAAAAAACATGAAATAATGATAGTCTTTCACGAGTAGAAACTTCTCCTCCCGTGAGGATGGACAATAATGTTGAGAAAGATTACTTTTTACTACCTGATTGCAATATATGATCGATGATTATGACTCGAAATAGTGACATTAGATGTGTACCTCTTTGATCTTGAACTATATGAATGATATGTATGGTATGAATTTTATTTCATAACAATAATCACAATTAAAAAAAGAGAAAAAGATCTTCCGTGTTTTATTATGAATGTATCCTATAAAATAGAAAAAAAAAATAGTAATAATATATTTGTGTGAACAGCAAGAATTAGATAACATACATGAAGATTGTTTTGATTCTAGATGAGCTTTTTCAATTTTTAAATAACCAACTGGAGCAATAGAATCAGACGATGTTATAATTATTTTCACATGATCACTATAAAAAAAGAAAGATCTTAATCATTATATATGCACAATAAATGCAAATGGATGGATTATAATATAGAATGATCGATTAACTTAAAGATCTATTACAAAAAAAAATTAATTAAATAAGTCATTGTAAAAAATTTTATGGATTGTTCATATCAATACTTTTAGAAAACGAAGAATTCTTTAAATATAATACAAATAGAAATTCAACTAATTTACCTATTGACTCCTGGTGATGTATAAATACATTCGAATGTAGCTATTTAACAAATGTGTCACTAATATTTTCTTTAATTATTTAGAAAAAACTTTTTATCATTTTCATAATGACTGCTTCAAGGCTACGACGTTTGATTGAACAATCAAAACAACCTTAAAGAAAATGCGTAGTTTGCACATCGTATAATGCTCAATGTAATACATGATATATTTGTCTCGACTGCAATGTATCTCTGTGCATGATGGATTGTTTTAAAAACTATTATACAAAAATGAACTACTAATATTTTTCTGACATAGAATTATAATTTCTTTAAAAAATAAATAAAAATCATATTTAAATATTTCTTATAAAAATTTTGAGTTTCGCAAACAAAAACCGGAAATCAATGGGTTAAAAAAGATTTTAATCATTGATCAAACAATTCGAATAATTACAATAATACATGAGGATCTTTTCAAAAATTTTGCTTATGTTATATAAGTCACTTTCTTATTTTTACAAATGTGTCAAATAACTGATGATTAATTGTAAATAGATAGTTCTATGAATTACATGTTCTACAAAAACTTATAAAAGTTTTCAATTCTTTTCAAAACTTTTATTTTACTTGATCAAGATGATTTTAAAATAAAATGAAAATCAAATTAGAACTTAATTATATAAAAATTTAAATTTACTCACAGAATAATTCGTTGATGTTTAAACAAAGAACAATCTAATGTCAATGTTTCAAATTCTCCACCTTCACCACACACATTTATACCATATTTTTCAGCCTAGAAGATAGAAATTGATAGAGAGTTTTAAAAAAAAGAACATTTATAATAAATCAAAAAAAAAATCAACGAATAACGAACTATGAAATAAATACATCATCATATATTTTTTTTTTTTCGAGAAGAATAACTCACTAGTTTAAATAATATAGGACGGATTTCAACAAGAGTTTTTCCAAGATGTTCCTTTGGCTGTAAACCTTGAAAAGAAAAAGAAAAAAAAAAGAAATTAAAACATCTTATCGATTATTATTATTCAAGTATTTCAATAAAGAAACAAAAAATTTAATTTTTAAAGAATTCTATTTACCTAGAGCAGCAGTTTTAATTAAAATTGCTTCTATATTTGAATCAATCATTTCATTAAGTAATTCTTGTTGATCACGTTGCCATATATAAGCAAGGACTTGAAGATTTAATCGTTGGCAACTAAATGAAGATAAATTGCCAAATAAAAAAAAAAGAAAAAGAAAAAGAAAAAGATTTACACATTAGCAACACGATTATTCTGATATTCAGAAAAAATAGCACCAACAGAAACAGCTTCAATTGTATGTTTTTCCTAACAAGGAAAGCGTATAGATAATATCAATTAGATTAATCTGGAGACAAAAAAAAAGACAATAGAAAATATCTAATTTACTTTAATCTGAGAGAGAAGTTCATATAAATCTTCAACTTCATCACCATGAACTGGCTGATCATATTCTTTATTTGTTGTTTGAGCATCACCTTTTATTTCTGCTCGATATAATGGTAATTCCATAGCTTTAGCAAATAAATCAATTACTTCATGGCCAACACTTTGATACATATAACTATCAAGTTCATCTATCGGAAAATTAGAAGAAAAAAAAAAGAATAAACAATTTTTTTATATTAATTATTTTTACCGATATCTTTTTTTGGATGTAGATTAGCTAATGCTACAATTTCATGACCATGTCGAACACATTCTATCATATTATAAGTACTATCTTTACCACCACTAAAAACGAAATTGATTGTCAATATCGAATATATATGTCGTACAAAAAAAAATCACAAACCATTTACCTTATCAAAGCAACCACATGCATTTTAGAAGTAAGTTAATATTTCTGTTTTATGCCAGTTATGAGAAAATCGTAAAACAAATAGTGAATTTCGATAATCTATGAATATAAATAATTTTAAAAATTGATCGATGGTAATAGATTAAACATAATCTAGATTTACTGAAAAATTTAATTTTATCGGAGACACTTCTTGTGTTGTTTTCTATTAGAATTTAAGTAAAACTTTTCTTCCATCAACGGAGCTTAGCTCCTCTATTTGTGTTTAAAATTCGGATTCTTTTTTCTATTTCATAGAAAGAATGGTCATTTATTCTCAGGTGTATTATACATTGAAACAAGACAGAAAATCATTTATTATTATTGAAATAAGTGGAAATATACACCTATTATTTAATTTCGTTAATTAACATTAAGATAGGCAAGATCATTGATTTAATATAATATTGTACTACACAATGCCTTAATTTATGCATAAAAAAATAAAATCAAGAATTCGATTCCAACAATAAATAATGATGAACTAATACTACTGTTTCTTTTTTTCTATAGTCGTTTCTTAGTTTCAGATTTTTCTATGCATTTCTATTATTGTATTGCATTTAATTTATTTATGTCTAACGTATGATTTCATAACTTTCCTTGTCTTTTCTATTTCAAAAACTTTTGAAATAACATCATATTATCACATTCGCGGAGATGTGATCTACCAATGGATCACACTATAGTAAACAGGATGTAGTCAGACATACAAATTAAGGATTCTTCAAAAATTTATTTGTCTATCTGATTCTATGCAACTATCTTTCACTGATCACTTTAGTTAAAAAAAATTCTTGAAAGAGTCTATGGGCTTCTGCAACAAATCTGATTGAGATTTTTTAGTATTTGTGATTCTAAAACTATCATTTACTTGTGAAATTTAAATTTGCTGTGTACTAAAATGATCAGCGCAGATAATTTCACAAAGCCTACTATACAAAAAGATTTTTGTGAGAATCGTTGATTTTTATGTCTAACTACTCATTGAAGTGTCCTATTATACTCCTAAAATTTTTGAAACATTCCGTGATTTTCTAACACATTATCATTCATTATATTCCAAAATCCTATTTTTCAACAACTTTTATTTGCTATAAAATTCACTTTCTATTTCTCTTTGTTTTCAAACTTTATTCACGGATAAATATTTTTGGCGATTCTATAGAATCAAATCACCTCCAACGTACTAATACTATCAACCCTCGCTCAAGAATTAGAACGGTAATAAAAGAACAAATGAATATTTTAGGCTATTTATTTTTTTTGTTTCTATTTAAGAACATTGAATAAAAAGAATTTCGAAAATCGATCATTATAATTTTCTCCAACTGAGAATTACGAATAAATACGAAAACAAAAAGGAAGGAAAGAAATCATTGTCGAAATAAAAAAAAAACAAAACAATATATGTATATGCGTTCATTATACTAATCAGATAAAGACAACAATACATAAAAGTCCATCTAGTAGGTCGTATAAACAAGATAAATGCATACGAACAAATTACACAAATACATAACGAATCAAAGTCAGTTATGTTTTAGCACCAAATTTGTTTAAATACGAACAACATTATAAACAATAATAATATATAAATATCTCGATTTGTTTTTTATATAAATATAAATATATATTTATACATATATAAATGTTATTACAAAGAAAAAAAAGAATGAAAATAAAAAACACTTCGGACGATTTTGTTCTTAAATTAACATGGACATTTATCTTTATTCGTAGGTTGATTTTGTTCTGGAAGTCGTATTGGTGATGGAAAATCTGGTGTTGGATCAATATCCTTTTCACGTGCTAATGCATTACGTGCAACGGTTTCAAAAGCTTTTTCAACGTTGACACCTTCTTTAGCTGATGTTTCAAAATGTGGAATATTAGATTTGTCTAAACGAGTAAAAAATTTTCATATGAATAAATTTTTTTATTTGTTTGTTTTCTTTTATATACCTGCACACCAATTAAGTGCTTTACGGGCTTGAACCTGCATAAATATAAAATAATAAAAAAATTTCAATATAAAATAAACACTAACCGTACGATTATCAAGATCAGTTTTATTTCCAATTACCTATAGATAAATATTCTATATTTGAAAAATTTTAATTAAAATTATCTACGTACTACAAATGGGAAATTTTCTGGATCACGTGGGCCAGCTTGCTAAAAAAAACAACGATTTTTTTTCTATTAATAAAAACAAAAAAAAAAGAATAATCGATGACTTACAATAAGAAATTCATCTCTCCAACTATCTAATGATTTAAATGAATTCGGTGATGTAACATCATAAACAAGTATACAACAATCAGCTCCACGATAAAAAGCTACACCTAAACTTTGAAAACGTTCTTGACCAGCTGTATCCCAAATCTTGAAAAAAAAAGACCCATAAATATTATTTTCAATTAACTATAAAAATTTGCTTATTTAATTAACCTGCATTGTTACAAGACGATCATCAATTTGTACTTCTTTAGTTAAAAAATCTGCACCAATTGTTGCTTTATATTGATTTGAAAATTTATGTAAAACAAATTGTCCCATTAAACTTGTTTTACCAACACCACTATCACCTAAACATAGATTTATTTATTAATTAAATAATATAGTTTTATTTTTGTTTTCATACCTAATACAATAACTTTAAGTAAAGCTTTTTTTCTTCCAGCCATATAACGTGTTTAATATAAAGAAATAATACGCAAAAAGAATTAATAATAAAATAATATCTAAAACAACACAGGTATTGTTATCTATCAGTTTTATTTGCTCTTTGTATTGTTTATTTTGAGTCAACAACAAACACGTCAGAGATGTGACAATAGATGAATTCAAAAGGGTCGGAAACCCTTACATTGTAATTAATAAATTTCTCATTTTTTTTTTCTTTATCAACAAAAATCGATTGATTTATTGTAAATATTTGAAAAATATCTTCACCCTCACTTATATTTTTCGTTCATCATACCCTTGAAACCTATACTTGTTGTTTGTTTTTTTATACCTAATTGATCCATATCAAATAATGCATGGTTTGACTCATCGATAAAAGAAAAATATTTTAATTCATGAAATCGTTAACTACATGTTTTATACTATATTTTATTCAATCAATAAAAAAAACATATATTCATTTAAATATAATGAAAGTCTAAATATTTGTCTTTCGTACTTACTTAAGTAACAAGAGAACTACAAAATATTTTAAAAAGTCAGCGTCCTCTATGACCATACTTTTCATCTTTCTCAAGTTATTGTGAAAAATTCTTTAAACAAATGGTTCAAAACAAAAGAAATTCAATGGTAAAAAACTAACATGTTTGCTGCTATTAAAATGAGAAAATATTTGTAATGACTCACTGATACCAATACAGAAAGTGAGGGTCCACAGAAGTGAGCCAAACATGTGAGCCAAAGTCAATAGGCTCATTTCATATAGAAGTTATAAGCCAATCAGATGAAAAGTCCATGTTTTACAACCATCCAAAATGATATTTTTCTTTTTCAACGCGATAGAGACATAATAGAATAACAGACAATGTACATCATAAACATGAATTGTTGGTTTCTTAATTTTCTGTTTTTTTTTCAGGTGCAAACTTTGAACTAATTCAGAGAGTGTTGTATAATTCGGTGATTTTCGAATATTATCGACAAGAATAATATGATTCTACTTCAAATTTACATCTAATCTCTTATTTGATACTTATTTTTTTTTGTTTTCAGATATAAAAATTAATCATTGTCAATGAAGAAAAGATTTTAAAAGTTATATTAGTGGCGAGATTAATTGCTGCCAATTGTATGTTGACTGAATCTTAGAATAATTTTAAAACAACATTTATGTGTTAGATTCTGATATACGACGGCATTCAACTGTTCGAGAAAATCGAAGTTACACTGTTGAGATGAAGGTGAACGAAATCTTTCGAAATAGATCAGTAGTCCTTTGAGATACCTATGTTATCTCAATACACTATAACTGTATTTTGTATTGAAAGCGATAAATTTAAACAATCAAGAGTTCAAACATGACTTCTGACATTTTACTATTGTGGGATGATATGAAAGGCAAGACAATAGTTAATAAAGTTTTTTATGATTTTTATTCTAATACTTGAGATTTCTTTCAATTTAAATTTTCAGATTATTTTATTGAGTCTTTCTTTTGAAAAGTTCAGAAATATGAACTGAAATCTTCAGAAAACAGTAGTAGATAAAATTTTTGACCTTCTAACGAGCAAAAATGGAAACTGGCTGCGAAGTTCTATACACCACAAGGTAGAGAAAGCGACGCTCTACAAAACCTACTAGATCACAATTCACCCAAATTTGAAAGAGATTTTTTATTAGGAGAGAAAGTTTGTGTAGCAGTGAACTTATTGTGGCCCGATTAAAAATTTTTCTTAGAAAATGAAAATGTTTTGGTTCATATTTGGTTCCATAGAGCTGAGCGCGGGCTATCAAAATATGTATAGAATGTTTCATTTTGATCTTAAAATAAAAGAGAAAACGTTCTCGCAAAAAATCAAAACTTTTTACTTTGACCATGATTTTCTGGAATTTTTGAAAACTCTATTTTGTTCATTTCAACTCTAATCCAGAATCAAACTCATAACAATTTATTATCAAAATGATCAGCTCATCGAGCTCTACAAATTCTGAAAGTTTCAGCGAATTCTGAGGAAGTCATGTATAAAGTGGTACGTTTCCCATGGATTCACCCATACCGATCATGCGCAGTTAAATACTTATACCTTCACAGTACTTGCCTAACATTACAGAAAAATGATCGCTAGAATGTTGTTGCTGAATTCTTTTCCACCATCTTATGTAACTAAAACTTATGTTCATAGCAATTTTTTTTTATATTGTTCTTTCATAACTCATTTGATAATAAATGTATATTTTCGATTTTTATTATTGAAATAAATTGAAAATAAATCTTCGAACACAAAGCAAATTCGATAGATATTTATATTTATGAATCAATACTAACAAGTGACACTAAAGTGGCAAAGGCATTCAAAATTTGACTACTATACTTCGGAATAGGAGATTCTTATTTAACGAAATTTATCGTATGATATTGAGCTATTGTTCATCGAATATTTTGAATTCCAACTTCTGGATTTCAGAACACATAATCAATGTCAACCGATCATTTACTAATAAAAAAAAACCGTAAAAATGAAAAGAAGTGAAGAAAACATGAAATATTAGATACAATGGAAAACAATCCAATCATGCACGACATCTTTCGATAGCTGTCTCATATTATCAGTCAAGATAGGTGAAATATGGACTGTGGATTCGACTTTGGTTCACGTCGAGTTTGGTTCACTTCTGACAACCGAAAGTGAGTGAGATCATCATCAATCCAAAACAAAGACAGCGACTTTTTCCTGCTGATGTCGCTGTTGACAGTAATATCTAAACGATGTTAAAATATCGTATTTCTATTAAGAAAATATTAGTCTTCATTTTTAATTAATGTTTCATATATAAATATGATAAATAGTAAGAAATTAAAAAAAGAACCAGTGACATGACTCGCGTTTCTCTTAGTACAATGAAACTAGCAGTAGAAACATTGTGAGATTTTATTTTAATAATTTTAAACAGAGAAAATATATCAATGTGCATATACAAACAAAACGACAAAACAGAACTCAATAGTTCTGATTTAAATTAGACTGATAAGTTTAGATTTTGGCAAAATATTCTTATAATTCGATATCAAAGATCATGATTTACATTACATTTATAGTGAGAAATAAAATAATTTAGCAAGGTTTAATTTCAATTGTTTTCCGCTGACGTAGATTCTATAGAAAATTGATAAAAAAACAACCTTAGGTGCTTCCGTAAGATTGCTGTATCTCAGCTAGAAAGTATCGCAGAGAACTCGAGGATGTAGCATTTTGTAGAGAATTATTTACCATGTCGTTCTATGTAATCGAAATAAAATTATATTTATTCATTCTAGATGCTGAAAAACCAGTCTTTTTTGGAGTCCCTATCTTTGGAAACCTGATAGTAATTTTTATTTCCGTATATACCATTCTGAAACAATTCTCTCTATTTGGATTCTGTCTAGTGCTTACGGTAGCGAAAAAAATGGATAATAAATCTGGTTGAATCATTTTGATTCCTACTGTATTTTTTTGACTATAAACTGTATCGTACAAACGCTAACAGTATGTTAGTCTAAATATTTATGTTAACACTTTTATGGTAGTAAAACCTAAAGAGACATGTTTTTCTTCTACAAACAATCAAGGCAAAATTCATGATTCAAGAGCTTTTAATATGAAATCACATGAATCATAACATTCTTTAGGTGTTTAGTACACAGACAAAAAAAAATGCTTTTTTTAACCCCTAAAAAACAGGCGACACGAATTCACGTTCTCTAAATAATTTCTATAAATATGACTTATTGATTATTTAATGAAATGAAATATATAGATATTTGTGCAGTTAAGATTAGTTACACATCTACTGATGATTATTGGTTGTCCCATAAGATTTGAAACAATCATCATACAGTTCAATAAGTTAGAATATCAGTCAGTTCGATATTATTTCTCGAAAATAAAACCACAGAAACAAAGTGATATCTCGTGTAATGATAATTATTCAAGAATGACATTTGTATGAAAAATCTTGAAATATCGTACACTAACATCATGATCTCTATCTTCTGTTTTCTTTGATATCTTCCTTGAAAAACCTTCGAGTAAGTTCCTATTCTCTCCGATTTTACGAAAACGTGCTTTATGTCGACCTATTCTTTATTCATGAAACATGCCTGTATTTAACTGAAAATCTAAGTTTAAAATCATCAAATACATAATAAATTTACAAACTAGCAACAAGTCCGAAGACAATTTATATGAAATTTTTTTGAGCTACTCTCTCACTCTCAAAGGGTTCGATCAAAATTCCTTGATTTATATATCAATTAATGAAGCTTGTAATCAAAATGAATATTATAATTGAAATTATGATTGTGACAGACTACGAAACTTTCTTCATACTTCGTTTATCATGTTTCGAGATAAAGAAATAAAAATGATTTAGCCTTTTGGCATGAATTAAAATCAATTCCAATTAATTACTCCTAATAGTTATTACTAATCTTACAATAGTAGTACAACAAAACTAAATTATTTTGTCTCTTTCTATTAGATTAAACTAACCGATAAAAATGACTTTTAACAAAGTAATACATTAATGAGTCTCTTTATTAAAAAAAAACAATTTCCATGATGTTTCGAAATTCATATCGGTCATTATCCAATTTATCTCAAAAAATACAACATAAATTTTCATTTTTCGTCAGATCAGATATTTCTTTCTTATATATATATAGATAGATAGATAGATAGATAAATTACGAACACCAAAAGTGAGAAGAATGAAAAAAAAAGACAAAACACAATTATACGAGTCAGAGTTTTTTTTCTTTTTCAATCTTCATATAGCCCAAGCAAACAAAAAAAAAGAGAAAAAAGAGGAAAAGATTTATACACATGCACAATACAAACATGTGAAGAAAATTTTTTTTATATACAAATACAGCAAGATAGGCAAATATTGATCCACACACACACAGATACACACATATATATATATATATGTAAAAGATATAGTTAGTGACAAACAT